TTATCTCTCCTCCCCACACATTACTATTTTCCCCACAAAAAATGGCAAATCCCTAATTTCCCATTTTCTTATGGATTTCTACCCAATTCACTCTATAATATATGGACATTGTATTAAGATATTTATAGACCACTATTTCAAATGTCCATATATTATGTAGCACGTAGAATATGTGATGTGGTGTTAACATTTCTACGTAAATATTAGGTTAATACCCGCGCATTTGCACGGAATGAAATTTATATATAGACATTATTTTATAGATTATTCTTTATTTTGTGTTCTTTTATATATTATAAAATAATAAATATATGTATTGAGTAATTGAGAAATCTATAATTATTATATATACAAGGGTTTTTAACATAAAAACCCTCAAATATGTTTCATTCGGGTATAAAACCCTCAATTAATAATTCAATGTGAAAACCCCTCAATTTTGTTTTCTTAACAAATCGACCCCTCCGTTAATTGTACGTTAAGTTAATTATACTGTTTAACAATACAGCTAGATTTTGACCCGCGCAACCGCGTGGGTGTTTATTTCCGTTTATAGTTAGTTATCTAAACATTTTTTTCACTTGTAAATTGGTATATATTATAGTAATCACATATTTACGATATGTATAGTAAATATTTTTCAAATATAATAATATTATATAATACGTGTTTTAATCAAATATTGTTTCAGATTTTCTATATTATACATGTTTTTCAAATATGTGTGTTGTTTCTTCTTCTATATTTTATTGTTTGTTAGATTAGTATTTCAGTTTTAGAGAAAGTAATATAAATAGAGCTTGATTAAATATTGTATACTTTAATTTGCAAAGATAATATAAACTTCAAAGAAAATTTTGCTAAAAACTAAACTTATAGCTTCATAAATTAATATTATAAAGAATTTTATTAAAAAAAATTTGAAAATTTTTATTTTTTTAAAACAATATAATTTTAAAAATTTACATCGAAATAAATTTATCTAGTATATATAGCATGTGAATTTTGTTAGGGTATATAAATATTTCATATTACGAATCTGTGATTTTTATTAATATATTGTGGATGCATTTAACTATTATTGACATATTTCCTTATAAATAATAGAAGATTCCTAAACATATATTTGTTGACCTATTTTGCATTACTAAGTTGGAAGGTTTGGGGTAATTTACCAAAACCAAATTGTTAAGCGTATCTTTGTTATTATAGATATGATTTTTTATAAGGTATAATAATGATTAGATTATTAGAGAGTTAATGTAACATAACTTTCTAGTAATAGTTCATATTTTAAAAAAATCTCACATGAAATCAAGTCATGACTTATGTTTTAATATATAAGATGTGTTTTTTGATTATTTTGTAAACTATATGATTTCCTAATAAAACAACACACCATTAACTTAAAATAACATGTAGTTTAATCTTACGACTTATAAAATGCAGTGTCTCTTTAAATGACCAAAAAATATCACAGCTTTCATACATCTTCTTATGCTCAAGTGGTCTGTGTATTGTCCTCATATCAATCATTAATTACTAAGCCTCATCAATGTTAGAAAAAGTTACTGTTGTCTGGTACTCTACAGTGAACGCGAGCTTGTACCTTGTTTGTATGCAAATGAATCATTTTTCACTACAGTCTACAGCCTATATGTAATCGTATACAAGATTAGTAACCAGATCACAACTGTAAATGGACCAAACTTGTCCAAGGCTTACAATTACAGGAGAGAAGCAAAGACAGAGTTCATAACATTTATAAGTCTTAATAACCAAATGAAACACCAAAAGAAGGTTCTAGTGACCTTTAACAGAGACAAAAGAAAACACAAAAATAAAATTCTAATGACCTTATGCTGAAATAGTCCTAAATAACAACATCAAAATAATCAAGCTAATTTATCTAGAGTCTTCAGTTGAGACGATTTCAATGGATGGCGTGGATGTTTTTGGTTTCTTGGATGAGGGGGGTTAGGAAGTAAGCTCCTATTCCAGATGGAAAATCAGAGAACTTGCTCGTATTCTTTGGAAAACCGCCACTTGATATCATCCTTTCAAGCGTTCTGAAACTTTGGTTCTTCAAAATCTACCGTACAATAACTTGTTTGACCACCATTATATGTTCCATCTGCTGCCCAGTACCCTCCAACATGTAAACGAAAGCTCAAATCACAAATAATTCTGTCATCCTCTTCTTTTTGTTTGCCTCACGATTCCATGACTTTTCGTTTTGCAATTTCAACACATGACACACGAAACGAAAAAAAAAACTCTCTAAGCTTCTGCCGAATTCGCCTCTCTCGAATCTCACAATTAAAGATCAAACATCTCTCAATCTGGGACACTAGGGTTCGCCATCTTTGTGTCTTGATCATTTGGGGATTTTAGAACACTTCGGGATTTAGAGAGGTTATAAGTCGTGAGCTTAAACTACTTGTTGTTTTAAGTTAATGGTGTGTTGTTTTAATAGGAAATCATATAGTTTACAAAAATCGTCAAAACACATTGTATTGTTAAACAATATAAGTAACGTACAATTAACGGAGGGGTCAATTTGTTAACAAAACGAAATTGAGGGGTTTTTACATTGAATTATTAATTGAGGGGTTTATACCCAAATGAAACATATTTGAGGTGTTACAATTAGTTTAACGTGAACACTTAAATAAAATAATCATATTTTTATTTACTCATTTTATATAAATAAATTTAATTAATAAATGATATTACGTACACACACACACATATATATATATATATATATATATATATATATATATATATAATTTTAATTTAGCTAGCTAATAAATGAAGGTTCACACTTATATGGTTTTATGATCATTTGTATATTTTTATAACAAAAATTTGAAACCATTGATAACATTATTTTTAATATGAGAGATTTAATATTTACAAAAATTCATCATTGTTTACTTTTTTAAAAAAAAAAATAAAGTTTGTCATTAAAATATTAAGTTCTCAATACTTTTTCAATGCAATTTTGGAATTAAATATTTATGTATGTTTAAATGGTATATAGTTTAATTTAAGCATCACTAAATATATATATACTTCTAATTTGAATATATATTAGATAATATTTCTTACTCATTAATTATATAATTGTTTGTATCGTGCTACAACAAAAAATTTAAACTATTAATCAGAAATATATGTGAAACTTTTAAATGTTTTATTAATTTATAGTTGTTTTGAAAAATTCAAAATATAACATATATGTTTTTTTTGTTATATAGTTAATATTATTTTTTAATTTATTTTCATAATATAAATTAAAGAAAAGAATAGAGGCTATTTCTTTTTTATTCAAATCATTAATTATGATATATATATATATAAATATATTATAATCATATTAGATAATTCCGTAAATTTTATTTAAGAAAATAATGAATAGTATTAATAGTTTTATGTTTAATTTAATAAAAAGTATATTATATGTTTATATGGACCAATATTTTTTCTAGTAAATTTGAGAAACATTCTCATAATAACACGTAACTACCAAAACATATTGTAATGTTTATTAATTAATATATAGGAGATAATACATAATACACGTTTAAGCTATTGAGAAAATAATTATTTAATGATTTTCTGTTAACAAACTAAAAAGGTGTTATGTGCATTGGTGCGTGGAGCAAGTATTCTACTATATGTTCTATGTGCATTTGAATGTTCTACTATAAGGCCTGGGCATCCGGTATAAAGCATGGGCATCCAGTTCTTCCGATCGGGTTCGGGTCAGATCTTGTCAGATTTGAGTCTTTCGGGTTCTAAAAATTTAGATCCATATAGGTATCTACAACTTTTTTAGATTGGGTCCTATTAAATCCGAGTCAGTTCGGGTCTATAATTTCAGTACCCATAAAATACCTATAATTTTTGCATAAGCGAGTATAGAATAGTTACGCGGGTTAGAAAGGTAAAAAAAGAATTAAGGTTTTTTGTTTGTTCACAAGGGGGCTGGTTGTAATTTTAATAGCTTGTTAGGTTACTTTTGTATTTAATTCATGTTTGAGTTTACTTTTGCATTTGAAACCAAGTTTTGAATCATATTTGACAAATTTCCCATAAACTAAAGCAAATTATAGAAACATTTAAGTATTGCATATCTTACAAATGGTATATTATATGTAACTTTCTAAATTTTTTCTGTGAGTATGTTATTTTATTATATATGTGGTTTATATTATTTTCCAAATAATATTTAATATTGTGTGTTTAAAATATATTAATTGTATGTTTTATATATATTTGTGAAATATTGTCATTAATCATAGTTTTATTAATATCAAAGACTATAATGTAAATAATATAAATTTTTAAAAAGATTTTTTGAGGTTTTATGGTTGGAGTAATCAATCCTCAAATCCTCGTTTTGAGGTTTGCTCCCATTAAATCGAGGTTTTGGGTTGTTGATGTTTTTAGAGGTTGGTTGTTGACTTGTAGACCGACGACCAGAAAACACACAAAGAAGACGATCACCTTTGTTAGTCATAAGATACTTGCTTTACATCTTCAACTCTATAACACCTACAACTTTTATTATATTTCATCACAAAAATATAATAGTACTACTATTTATATAATCCTCAGATTTTAATAGGATAAAAAAACCGTCTTCTTGGGGTTTTCTCTCACAAATTCAGCATAGCAGGTAAACAAACACTTACTATTGTACCAAACCGATCATAATATTATATGATTGATTATGTCTAATATGAAATGAACCACTCTTTAAACATTAGAAAATAAAATTATCTATTCTTTTTTTTTCAAACAATGCATTGTTTTGGATGATCAATTAACTTTATTTATGAAATTATAGGAACATATTTTTAAAATACTATGAAACTTTGGAACAATTAAATTAATAACCATACCGGCTAATTAATATTTAGATACTTCTGACCTCTAAACACGAAAAGGTAAAATAATGAAAGTTGCAGGCCGAACGGTAGAAGCTATCGTGCGCATCTGCTCCACACTTTATAAAACATTAACTGTAAAAATTTCCGCCGGGAAGAAAAGTCTTGTGTCTTCTTCACAAACCCAACAAAGATAGAAGAGTTTCTTCTTCTATCATCCGAAGATTTCGTCTCTTCTCTTCTTCTGTTTATTTTTTTCTGGGAAAAGGTAAATCCTTTTCTTTCTTATGAGCAATTCTAATAAATTTCCTTTTCTGGGCATTTCCATTTTATCTTCGTGATCAGATTATTTCTTCCATTTCATGCCGATTAAGGTTATGTAAACAGTTTTTTTTTCTGGGTTTGTTTCAGTTTGAAATCCATTTTATTGGTTACGATCGTTGACCTTAGGTCAACAAAATATCTCTGGTTATGATAAAACTTTGTTCATATAGAAGAAAAGATTTATACTTTTCTCATGTATAATCTGTTTTGTGAGAAAATCTGTTTCCTTTTTGATTTCCGACAAGTCTGTCTTATGTTGCTGCTTTAACCTTATTAAATTGTCTGAAAATCTTTTTTTTTTTCTTCTTCTCTGAGGCTGTGTGTCTGAACATTTTCTATATTCGCTTTTTTTTTGTCTTTTTCCTTTGCAAATAACATTAGCTACTTCAAAATCTGCGTATGTAAACACTAATATGAAATGTTTATTTATTTTAAATCAAAAATCTTGTTCTGCAACACCACTACTGAGTACTGACGTTTTGTATACAGTTTTGCAAGTTTGTGTGTGTAAGAGAAGAAAAGCGTAAATGAGCTGCTTTGGCTGTTTTGGTGGTGGTGAGGATTTTCGTAGAGTTTCTGAAACCGGACCAAAGCCAGTGTTCAACAGAGATGGTAGTTTAGTTTACCCATTTGAGTATCTACTTCTTTTTAGTGTCCATCCTTTTGGCTTGCGGCTAAGTTTTTTTGTGAAACTGTTGTTAAGGTGTCAATGGTCAACATCACAAGGCAGAACCACCCAAGAACCAACCAATCATTCAGATGCAACCTATCTCTGTGCCTGCCATTCCAGCTGATGAACTGAAAGATATAACCGAGAACTATGGTTCGAAGTCCTTGATTGGTGAGGGATCTTATGGAAGAGTGTTTTATGGTGTTCTTAAAAGCGGTAAGGCAGCTGCTATTAAGAAGCTTGATTCCAGTAAGCAACCTGATCAAGAGTTTCTCTCCCAGGTAGAATGCTATTAACTGAATCATTGCAGTATTGTTGTGCCTTCATCTCATAGACATTGCCTTAAAGAGTTGTTTTGTAGCTCTAGAGGTTGTGTTGTTAATCTATTGCTTTGTTACTGACATAAAAGAGATCTTTAAAAGGTATCAATGGTTTCGAGATTGCGTCAAGACAATGTTGTTGCGCTTCTGGGGTATTGCGTTGATGGTCCACTCCGTGTTCTTGCTTATGAATATGCTCCTAATGGATCTCTTCATGATGTTCTTCACGGTAAAGTTACTCATCTTAAACATTGATTCCGTAAGACTTTGAGATATATACTCACCATTTTTTCGTCGATTTTAGGTAGAAAAGGTGTGAAAGGAGCACAGCCAGGTCCTGTTCTGTTGTGGAGCCAGAGAGTTAAGATTGCTGTTGGTGCAGCTAGAGGGCTGGAGTACTTGCACGAGAAGGCGAATCCTCATGTTATCCACAGAGACATCAAATCCAGCAATGTGCTTCTGTTTGATGATGATGTCGCCAAGATTGCTGATTTTGATCTCTCCAACCAAGCTCCTGACATGGCTGCGCGCCTTCACTCAACTCGTGTGCTTGGAACCTTTGGCTATCATGCTCCAGAGTAAGCTCTTACCTTGCTTGCTTTATCTTAAATCAGACTAGTCCATGTGGTTACTTACATTCTACTCATGTGTTCAGAGACTTTTTGTTATCATTATCAAATGTTTGAGTCCTTGGATTAAGCTGTTGTATGTCTTTGCATCTCTTCTAATTGACCAAACTAGAGTCTTACTCTTAGCATTGTAAATAGTAATCCAGTTCAGAAATTATGTTTTGGAAATTCATAATCTTAATTTACAAATTGAGTTCTGCATTTTTCAGGTATGCAATGACAGGAACATTGAGCACAAAGAGTGATGTCTATAGTTTTGGAGTTGTTCTGCTAGAGCTACTCACAGGTCGTAAACCAGTTGATCATACCTTACCACGTGGACAGCAGAGTCTTGTGACATGGGTATGCTTAGTGCACCTCTGCTTCTTTTTATGATTCACTCATATTGATTAGAGATTGTTTGTAGGAAGACCAAACTCTTATACAAAAAAAAGGAATGTTTGTGCAATCATATTATTAAATGAAACTTGTTTGTGTGGTCTCAGGCAACTCCTAAACTGAGTGAAGACAAGGTGAAGCAGTGCGTTGATGCAAGACTAAACGGAGAGTATCCTCCTAAAGCTGTTGCCAAGGTAAGTTCTCCCCATAATCTTTGTCTTAAGTACTAACATTGTTTCAGTAGAGAAGGTTAACTTTAGGACATGACTTAGAAACTACTTCTCCATAGTGGTGTGTTCCCTATTGTAGTCCTAGATTGAAATACAAGACCTCTTCTTCTGACTGTAGAATCTAAGTGTTTGAAGTATGATTTGTTTCTAAGTCTGATTTTTGGTTTTTCTCACTTTATGACTCTGGTATGGATCAGCTGGCTGCAGTAGCTGCGCTTTGTGTGCAATACGAAGCAGACTTCAGGCCAAACATGAGCATAGTGGTGAAAGCTCTCCAGCCTCTGCTCAACCCTCCTCGCTCTGCTCCCCAAACTCCACACAGGAACAACCCTTATTGATGATCTCCTCCAGTCTCATGTCAAACTTCATCATCCACTATTTCATTTGTTTTTATTTGTATCCAATCTGTGTAAATTCGTGAAAATAGGCTTTTTATTTCTCTCATGAAAAACCTAAACCCATTTCAACTGAATATCTCCCTTGGAAACCTGAATGTTGCTCTATTTCTTTTTTTATGTTATTTCATGCTTGTGATGTAAGTTTCTACTAATTTTACAATATACACCTATACTGTGTGAGTTTGTGCCATTATGTAAAAGTAAAACTAAGAAAGATGTTGAATAATATATTGAGAAAATCTATTTTCAAAATTGTGGTTGGAGAGGTAAGTATAAAGGTAGAAGAAACAATACATCTTGTAAATCTAATACAATAAAGTTGACTATTCTCCCTTCTTAGGGTGTCCACCTCAGATTTTTAGAGGGGGGCAAAAAATGCCACCTCAGCAGCAATCAATCCGTAAATTGAATCACTTCCCTCAGGTTTTCAATTCGATAATGCTGGTTTTCTTAATTAAACCAAAATCTTGGGCTGTGCTGGTTTTCTAATAATATTTGATA